CAGTTGTAACAAATTTGACATAAGTCAATTACAAACTGAACAGCAAAAAGATGAAAATATCCAACAGAAAATAGAAGCATTAAATAAAGATCCGGATAAAGTCGATTTTGTGTTTAAAGACGGAATATTATATAAATTGGTCCAAAAACCACATTCTACGCGTAAAAAACAACTCCCATATATTCCAGCGACAATGATTACACATTTATTACAGGCGTGTCATGATGATCCGATTGCCGACCATTTCGGCGTTACTCGTACATATTTTAAGCTAAAAAACGACTACTGGTGGCCGAGTATAAAAGCATCTATACAAAAATATATAAAAATCATGTCCTAAATGCCAGCAGTTCAATATCAGTCGGCAAAAGAAACCAGGACTTTTGAAACCAATTAAGCCACCAGATGGACCCTTTCAAATGATTACACTATCTCAGGTTCCTTTTTTCTCTTAGACGTTCTGACTTCAACTTTCGGCGTGCGAAGGTTTTTAAAATTTCATATGAGATTTTTAGTACTTTTTGAATATGTCGCGAAAGAAAGCATGTTTTTCGAAAAGGAAAAAAACGAACCTGAGATTGTTAGAGTATAATGTATTCAAACCTTTCATTTCTCTCTCTCTGTTCACTTTCATTGTCTTCAAGACGAATACATTCATTATGTTCAGAGGAGATGTTTTTACTCTTTTCACTTGCATTGTATTCGAGAGATATCTTCATTGTGTTCATAGAGATAGTTTCACCCTTTTTTTACTATTCTATTATTCTAGCACGATATTCCGGTTTTCTTTCCGTCCGTTTGTATATATATATATATATATATGTTCTTTTTCTTGTTGATAAGCAGTTCAAGTGTTCCTAAGAATAAAAGTTGTGAAGCAACAGAGAAACACGATCATTTCATAGTCGAAAAAATGACACAAGATGAAAGTAATTTGAAAGAATATGATCTTGAAAATTAAGATACAATTCCAGTAGTTGAATAAAAAGAAAATAGAAAAATATAATATTTATTTTTTGTTTATATCAGAATTTACAACAATTATTTTCTTTTTTTTTGTAGTATATTGAAATATCAGACTATATAAGGAAAACAAAAAAATACAAATAAAGTAATTATAGTTGAGAAATATGCTTAATATTTAGACGATCAATGTCTAAATCCGATATAAATGAATGTAAAACATAACGACCTTTTCTAGATTTTGTTTCTAATAATACATTTACTAGATGACGATCATCAGTTATAAATAGAAAATTTAATTCTTCATTATTATTACTGTCATGATAAATATATTTGGTACCTAATGCACATTCGAGATATATATAGAAATCATTGTTATCACTATGACATGATGATTTATGTTGTTCATAATACAGATTATAATCTCCATATAATTCTCCATTTTTGGTTGGTATCCGATTTTCTAATACATTTTTATAATAATCTTCATAGATCATACGTTTTCTATCATATGATAATCCTGGAGTTTTTAATATATTTATACCTTCATCATATAAATTAAAACATCTCCCTTGATTAACAAGTTCATTAAATGTTGTTCTACAAACATAAAAAATATAACTTTCATCTGTTCTTAAACGATTTAATACTTGATTATTTAAATGATGAATTACTATATTTGTGTCAATA